GGTCTAAAAGCGCCCCTGGCCTCTGCTTTTTTGATATATCTCTTCAGCACAGTGGCCAGAGCCGTGAGCTTTTGTTTGGCAGTTTCTAGACTCTCATACAGACATCTGGTTCTACCTCTTTTTCGTCTTTTTTCGAGCTGTCTCTCATGATGCCCTTTTGCACCCCACTTAACCGACTAACATCATTCCAGGCTTCCAGCCTTCTTCTCCAAGGGAGGCAACAGATGTTGAATTGGCTTCGCTGCTGGATATGTATTATATACATATAAATCCAGCAGAGGAATCAATTGAACATCTGTTGGGTAGGAAATGTTAGAGTAATACAAAGGAAAAGCACAGGGCTTCTCGGTGTGAAGATGAGTGGGTTGCAAGTTTGAATTTCTATCAAGAATTTCCTCCACTGTGCTCGCCACACCCTTACCCTAAGTGAGTTCATTCACCTGCACACACAACATTCATACTGACGGAGTTCTACATTTTTTATTACAACGTTTTAAATGTCACAATTTGGACAAAAACATACATTTCTATAGCAAGACTTTCCTCAGTATCAATTTTAATGTGAACTGTATTGTACCAGCAGGAAAACATGTGGTTGTGGAGAAACTGACTCATCAGTAGAGGGAGCTCTGACTCTGACAGGTGAAATCAGGGCATGACTTGGATTTTTTACGTTTTTTTCTTGGCATTAAAAAAAGGTATTCCACAGTTGGATTAATAGAAAAAAACCCATATGGTCACACAAAACCCCAGCAAAGACATCGAGCCTGCCCTGAAACCATTTCTTGGTAATTGCAACTATTAAACTTGAATTAGGGATAATGGTATTTATGAGGTTTTGGCAAGATATTATTAAAAGCAGATTCAGAATAACTTTGGTGGAAAGTAATTTAATGCTATATCTACAACTTCATTTTTATTAATTACACTTCTGATCCTTGTACTTACCAGTGAGCGTTGTTGATAAGCATGTCCATCTGTTTATAACCACAGTGTATCCCCCTTCTAATGGCTGCCTCCAACAGGATGACTCTGTGTCCCGAAGCCAGACTTGTAAACATTTAAAAAGGTCTTGAGCAATAGTTCTGAAACTTTTTGAAGTTTTTATTTGGAAATTCAATTCTTCTTTTTTCTTTCACTAAATTGGTCTTCTACCTGATCATTTTCATAATAAACTTTTTTTTCTTTTGTTAAGCCACTTAACCTTGACCAGTGAATCATTCAAACATAAAAAGATACCTAACTTCACAGGTGCAGGGACGAACCAGTGTTGTGCCTTTACATAACAGAGAGCTTAGAGACAAACCCTTTTTAAATTGCATCTGTAGGTACTGTTTCATAATAGCCTGTCATAAAAACACATCATTTGTTCCCATTTCTTTAGTTCATTCCATAAAAATAATGACATAAAATAATATTGTTAGCCAAAAACTTAAAAGCATTTCTCAGCATGGTGTATCGTACAAAGAAAACAAAAACCATAAATTGAGATGTGGAAGGAAAGCCTAAACAGGAGAAGGAGAAAAAATTAGTGGCAACTGGACTTATGGGGTAAATTTTGAATTCAAATCATCGTCAGTGGTGTTGGAGAGCTTGTCAAAATTAATGGAATTATGAATGCAGAAAAGCACAGTCAGAATTTGATCCACCATACAAAACCATCTGGGGAAGTATATCTGATTGGCAACAGCTTTATTTTTCAGTATGACAATGATCCCAAACACACTGAAAGTTCAGTAAAAGCATGCCTGGATAGAAAAAACAGATAGTGACAGTCCCCAGAGCCTTGACCTCAATATTACTAAAGCAGTGTGCGATCATCTTGACTGAGAATGGAACAAATGGCAGCCAACATCAAAAGAAAAGTTTTGAATCTTATTCAGGAATCCTGGGGAAATATTCCTGAAGGCTTCCTAGGAAATTACAAGAAATCTTGAGAGCTCAGACTGTGTTTAAGAATAAAGGTAGTCATACCAAATATTGACTGTCAAGCGTGTTAGAATTGTTCATTCTTTGTTTTTGCTTTAAATGTTGTAGAGTATTTCTATCTATTCTTGCACCTATTCCCCATTTGCACAATCCTGCATACGTAAGTCCTTGGCCACCTGCTTAACAGCTTCAAGGTTATTTCTTGAAACAGCTATGTTGATGATTCACAGCTGTACTTTCCCGTTAAGCCACAACCACAAGAGCCTCTACGATTCTACTCAGCTAGTACAATTCAATATAAAATTCTTTGCTTCAAATGATGGTGTACTTTTGATCAAGATCTCCAAAGTCATCCAGCGTTGCTCTTTTCATCTAACAAAGAAAATCAAACACATCTCTCTTAGTCTGCCATCGATTAGTCCAGAAAGCAGCAGCAGGGATTTAAATAAAGGTGTTTAACTAGTTTAACCTACTTTATTAGTGTGTTTAATTCCAATGCCTGTATGCACAAGATTAAAAAAGCGACTGAGTCTCGCGCAGATTACTTTAATAAACAAAAACCTTGACTATGGCAAGAATAATCACTGTTGATGCTGTGCTTTTAAGTTTGGGTGATATTAAATTACAAATAAACTAGAAATAAATCAGTTTAAAGCAGGTGTTTTTTGTTTCCTTTTGTACAGTCCAGCTGAATATATGACACTTTAATGGTGTGCCTGCTGACAAAACTGCATACAGTCAGCTGTTAGGACACATTTGCCGACAGAGATGTTTCTCAGTACGTCTAAAGCTAAGGAAATTGTTTCCTCTCAATGTTCTTTGTTGCCATCAGAATCCAATTACCTTAAAGTGAAAAACATATTGGTCGTTTTGGCCGACCCCATCATCAACTTTAACCTGAAATACATTTGGGAGCCACAGCAGAACAATAATGAGAACTTCATTCATCCACCTTTAGCATTTGACACCAGATCAGCTTTATTTAAAGGACAGTGAAGAGTTTATTGTAATTCTGTTTACACACAATAAAACAGTTAAACACTTCAAACTGCTGGTACAATTTGTTGAAATACTATTTTTTCTTGCCACCCTTTGGAGCTTTTTCTAATCCTTGAATGTATTTCCGAGGAATTTGATAATGATCTGAAAGGAGAATAATAGACAAAATGACTTTATTTGTGCAGATGAAGGAATTATGATAAAATACTGAATTCCCTAAAGGTCCATACCCAGCAGCAATTTGCCAACTTGTTGAATCTGGTTTCCTTGGATCTGGACCAAGACTCTGTCCTTGGCTCCGGGGACAGGCTGCAAGACAGAGCTGGCCTGAACTCTATGCTGCAAAACACTGGCGACAACTGCAGGATCCAACCCGTACACTTCCAGGTTCTTCATCAAAGTCACCTACAGGTTGCATATATAAAACAACTAATTAAAATATTTAATCATTCATGTTAACTAGTGAGGTCATTACTATATACAATCTGTATAAATGGAGGGCACTGACAAGTTTATTTTTCAAAACGTAAGATGCACCTATATCATTCATTACTAGATTAAAAAAACAAAAACATATACATGATGTGTCTCCAATGACAGCAATCTTGGCTGGGGTGTGGGGATACCACTTTTTTAAAGAATGAAATATCTATTAGCTGGATTGACTGGAAGTTTTGCACAAAGATTTATAGCTCCCATTTTGCTCATTGTTAGGAAAAGAAGGATTACAAAGTTTAGAAAAATTAAGAGACACCTATGGTTTGGAAAACCAAGATTTCTTTTCAGATATCTCCAAGTCAGGTCCTATTTCAATAGTAATATAAAAACTACAGAAGAACATAGTGAAGGCCTAGTCCCCGTTATAAAAGAAGCTTATAAAGGTCAGATTAAAAATAAATTGATTGCTAAACTCTATCGGAACCTACAATCACTTAAGGATCCAATTATATTAAAATTAAATGGGAGACGGAGGCTAAAATCAACATATCAGAGGACAGTTGGTTAAATATATGTAGAACACAGATGGAAACTACTAGTTCGGGTTATTGGAGGGAATTCACATGTAAAATTTTAGATTTAGGTTTATTAGGTTTTTTATAACACCCAAAATAAAATACAAACAAAAAGGTCAACTGACAGATGGACAATGCTGGAGAAACTGTGGGGAAAACATGGCAGATCATTTTCATATATTTTGGAAATGCCCAATAATCCAACCATACTGGAGTGAAGTGGTCGAATCAATTTACTTGGTGACTGGTCTCAAATTAAATTTGGATTTCTGTACTGTGTATTTGGGCGATATCCCATCAGCAGCCTCCTTAAGGGACAAAGCGCTTACCAGGAGGTGGCTGGAGAAAGAGCCCCCAACAAAGAAAGATTGGATAGGAATAATGGAGGACATATATAGAATGGAAAAACTTACTTTTTTAACCTCAAAATGGACCAATTTCATAAAAACTGGAGGAAGTGGGAGAGATTTGTTGAAGGTGGTAATGTGGGAAGTAGTAATATACCTGTATATTCACACCTAGCCACACTCTGTAAAAGTTAGACAGAGGCGGTTGCAGTTAGGCTCCCAACAGTCTGCAAAAGAAGTCATGAAGCAAACAAAAGAGGCTCCCTTGTCAAGAGCATCCCAGCCCAAAGGTGTTTCTTCACAAACAGTTAATTCCATTATTTTATCATGTATCTACCAGTCTGCAACAGTTAGACTCGATGATTACACATAGATGATTTAACTACATTAGGGGCCAACTGTAGTTCCATACTTTCCACATTTTTTAATTACAAACAAACAAACAGTTAATTCCATTATCTTATCCTATCATGTCAGAGGCCATGTCCAACAGAGTCTCCAAAGACTTTCCACCTTTCTTCCTTACATCCTGCTCTTTTATCTCTACATCTCATAGGTCAACTGAAAGTAGCCCCGCCTATATAAAAACACCCTAATCAGACACCCTGCATTCTTCCACACTACTTCACAACGGGCCCTTGAGAGCATAACACTTCGTTCATCAGCGCGGTCAGCAAACCTAACAGCGTTCTTTTTAACATGGCCAACATATATGGTAAGTAAAACAAGACTATTAATGGATTCTTAAATGTATACCCCAGTATATCATAAAATATTCAAACTGTTTTCTTTTTCTAAACAAAAGCCTGATTTTTAGGAGATCGGCACAACGGGGCACCACACATGTCACTTACAGAAGGTCTGTGTTTCTTCTTTTTTAAAAACAGTCATCAGTTCACACAAAACAGTCTGTGCCTCATTGTTTTAGAAGCAATCTTACCTGTTTCTCACATAGTAACATTTAAATGTATATTTCTCTTTGTTTCTACAGGATCACAAAGCTATATTGGGCAAACTACACCTCTAAAAAACACAAGGTAAAAACGGTGTTACACATGTTTTAAATATATGCGTGTTTGTTTAAACCTTGTATTAACTGGGCTTATCCCCTGGGCACAGGGTCAATAAGTTGTCCAGAAAAACCTACAGAAGCGGGTGCAATAAGACCAAGCCATACGCTAGGTATGTATACAAGTCTCTATACATGACACTCAATTTAAAGGAAGAAAGGTTTTAAATATTTACAAATGTTCTAATACACCAGGCCTGAGACAGAGTACGCAGCGTGTCAAGAACCGGGACCATCCAGAATAACGCAGAACAATGTGTGAGTATAGGCAAAAATAAATCAAAAGAGCCAAACACATCCTGTTTTTGAAATGATACACCATGTATATATATTTGTTTCTAACACCCTTCTATCTCCACAGTGATCACACAACCCCTTACCACTATGAACCCCATGAAGACCCCTTGATGTTTTTGGAATATTTACGCGATATCGAACTCCCAGAACAACAACAACCAGAAAACCCACAACCTTTTGGCAACAACAGTGACTCGGAAGCAATCTTCATCACAGGACCACACATACCAGCGAGTGAGTGTCTGCCTAGTGATTTCAGCGATGTTTTTGAGTACAGTCTATCAGATTTTAATATAAATGACATACCCACCATGCCAGAACGTCTCAGAAACAACAACAGTGATTCAGACATTGGTTTTGAAGAATGTTGCATAACAGACTCGCAAATATCACAGGCATATGACGCATACTTAAATGCAGCAGCAAACACCTCTACTTTTGAACAGAGCCATTATGCTTCAAAAAATGATATATTATCTTTGATAGATGCTAAACTCAGTCAACATCAACAAACAGTACAGAGGGATGTTCAAGAAATAGCAGCTAAACTCATGCAAGAAATAGCAGCTAAACTTAACGAACATAAACAAGCAGTACAAGTGAACTTGCAAGAAATAGCGGCTATAGTCAACCAACATCAAGAAGCAGTACCGGGGAACTTGCAAGAAATACCGGGAGTTTTAACTAGTATCCACCAGACAATAAACAATACCTCGGGTGTATTACATCTCATAAATACCACCATTCTAAATAGGTGACTTAAAATCCACACCATGGATCCACCCCGTAAATTATTCAAACACAATGATGGTACCTCCAATCGAGCTAAATGGTTTGACTTTGACGCTTTTAACCATGCGGCTGCACAATTAGTAAGCAATTGTCAAGTCTTGCATGCAACACTTAATAGTCTCGCTGCAGCATGTAGCGGTGTGTCTAATGAGCCCGCCTGTCCAACTCATTCTGAACCCGTTGCTGATGATGCTGTTGATCAACCAGCCGAAACACATTCGGATTTGCCTGTAGCCACTGGTGTTACTGTTGCAGGGACTGTTGTTACTCAAGCTGCCGCTGATTGCCTTATTACCGGGGCTTCTGTCACGCCTGATAGGGTCTGTGCACCTAGCGCACATGCTCATCTGGCTGCTGACACTACTGCAGATACTGAGGCTGCTGTTGTTGAGACATCACCACACAGCCCCTCAAACAATGGAAATACCTTAAGTGTTATCCATTCACAAACAGGTGCTGCAGCTGTCGGACCCCTTGTTCAGTCTGGGTCTGGCAGTCACAGTCAGCTTAGCATCAGAGAGATACCTAATTTCAACGCCCGAGAACTGCGCGAGCACCTTGATTTTAGGGACATAAGTCTCGATGATCCAGAACAAGTGCCAGAAAGAGTTAGAAGTTGCTTAGCTAATGTGATAGATAGAGCAGTGGCTGGATCTCAGCAGGGTTGTGTTCTAAATGTGGTCCTACGTGGTCCCTCACTGGCTTCTGATGTTCAAGCTGTTTTAAATCCTGATAATCAGTCTGATCCTGACCTGTTTCTCGAACAACTAGTACAAGTTATGCAAAGTAACGATGAATCTATCGGTGATGATGAATTAGAGTTTATTGTCACGGTTGCACAAAACAGTAGCGGTGGGGCTCGCTTAAAACTGGCAAACATTCCTTATGATGAGATTCTCTGAAAGAAGGGTAAACATTTGTACACACCAAACAACATGCACAACAATTTGTGCTTTTCACTGTGCATAGCCCATTCATTAAACCCAACATCCCCTGAGCATGAAAAACATGCTACTGCTAAACAGTTACATGCTCAAGTAGGTCTATGCGACACACAGACAGTATCATTCTTTGATGTCTGCAAATTTGAGAAGCACCTAAACATTAAGATAGTAATCTATTATCAGGTAAACGTCAGCTTAGTTTCTTCACACATGATGAGCCAAATCCAAACACTGTAATGCTGTACCTACACAATGAACACTATCACCTGATTGAAAAGCCAGCAGCTTTTCTCGGGGCATCCTATGTGTGTAATTTTTGTTACAATACATATGAATCACTGCTCTATCACAGCTGTAAACATAGATGCAACATATGTTTCACACTCTGTCACCACCACAGTGGTCCCACAGTGAAATGCAGTGACTGTAACCGCGTCTGCAAATCACAACACTGTTACCAACAACACAAATTACCAGAAATAAAACACAACATGGTCCCGTGTGACAATATGAAGCATTGCATGAGTTGCGGTGTCACATATAAAGAATCAAAAAAATCACCACACAGATGTGTCCAGCCTAAATGCGAGCACTGCCGCGAGCCTAAATTAGCAGGGGACTCTGAGCATCAGTGTTTCATACAGCCTGTTGAACAACAGAAACCTTGTGATAAATATATTTTATATGATTTTGAGACACGGTATCACAACGGCAAACATGAGGCCAACTTTGTGTGTGCGTCTGATCTGAAGGGCAACAAGTTCACATTTAATACATTAAAATGTGTGGAGGCGTTTGTGCAGCATTACAGACGCCTGAGGTTTCGGGGGTACACTTTCATAGCACATAATGCATCTGGCTTTGATAACTACATACTTTTGGAGTACTTTGTCAAGCAATGTATAACACCTACCGTCACAATGAGAGGGAGCCATGTGATTCTGATGCATGACAGGGACTATGACCAGCGGTGGATTGATTCGTTCAGCTTTTTGCCCATGGGTCTTGCCAAAATACCCTCTGCTTTAGGTTTTCAAGACCTGCAGAAGGGTCATTTCCCACACAGATTCAACACTAGGGATAATGAGTATTATGTTGGTCCATACCCAAACCCCTCCTTCTACGGCTATGAGCGCATGTCTGAAAGTGATAAGGTGAGCTTCATGGAATGGTACCAGACCGCCTCACAGAAACCCTTTGATTTTCAGACCGAACTCAAGCGCTACTGTGTTAACGATGTTGACGTCCTGCGTAAAGCATGCAGCATTTATCGTGACACGCTGCTGGATTGTACACAGGTTGATCCATTCATGCACACCACCCTGGCTGCATTCAGTATAGGTGTGTATAAAACACTGTTTCTGCCTAGAGACACGCTCGCTCTCACGTATGATGGTGCATACGTTGAGCAGAATAAGACGTTTTCAAACGTCTCTATTGAATGGCTTCAATATGTGACCCACACAAACAACACAGTGATAAAACACGCTCTCAGAGGAGGCGAGCATAGGGTTGGACCGTATTTTGTGGACGGCTTTGACCCCACAACTAACACGGCTTACGAATTTGCAGGATGTTTTCACCACGGGTGTGTTAAATGCTACCCCGAGAGTGAAGTTAATCCTGTCAGCAAAGCATCCTATGGACTGCTGCACCGTATGTTTTGTGACAAAGTGGATGCACTGAGATCGCAATACCATTTGACCATTGTTGTGATGTGGGAGTGTGAATGGGCTGCCCTGAAGCAGACAGACCCTGCAGTTGTGGCTTTCATGCACACATACAGAAGGCCAGAATGCCTAAATCCCCGAGACGCCCTTTTTGGCGGTCGCACAAATGCTCTAAAACTGTACCACAAGGCTGCGTGTGATGAAAAAATATTTTACTACGACTTCACCAGCCTCTATCCCACAGTGCAATCTAAAAAAGATTATCCTGTAGGACACCCTCAAATCATTTACAGCAACTTTGACAGGCTAGAAAATTATTTCGGCTTTGTTAAATGCACAGTACTGCCACCAAGAGGGCTTTTTCACCCCGTCCTTCCCTACAGGTGCCACAGTAAACTGATGTTTCCACTCTGCAGCATGTGCGCTGAAGACCAGAATCAGCTCACTGCCTGCGGGCACAGTGACAGTGAACGGGTGTTAAAAGGTACATGGGTCTCATTTGAGCTTGAAAAAGCTGTTGAGCAGGTTTTTTCAAGCTCAAATGAGACCCATGTACCTTTCAACACCCGTTCACAGTGACAGTGAACTTTCACTGCTTTAGATGTAGAAATGTTGCTATTACAAGTGTATTCTAAAAATCTTAAACTAAGAGCCCATCAAATTAAGTTTATGGATTATTGTACATTACAGGCAAAACGTATGATTGCATTAAATTGGAAAACATCAGATCCTCTTGATATTGGTGCTTGGATAAATTCTTTGGCACAGTGTATGGCAATGGAAAGGATAACGTACTTTCTCAAAAACAAGTTAACATATTTTGATGAAATTTGGAAGCCATTTAAAAACTTTATAAAAGAAGTAAACATCGGACAACTTCTGCAGGAGTGTGGATGAGGAGAAAATTGTTTAGCATGTGCTAGCTATTTCTATTGTCTACTTTTTTTTTCTCTCCTTTCTTTTTTGTTTCCTTGAATATGCATAAATGCCACATATTGTACAAATGTATACATATTCTATGTGGGTTTTTTTATTTTTTTTATTTTGTTGTAGGTTTGGAAGAGAGCAGGGTGGGAGGTGAGGGCGGGGAAAAAGGGTTCCTATTACAGCAGCATATTATTGGGAAAACAAACTTTTGTATGTTGTTGCAAAAAGCAATAAAATTTATATTTAAAAAAGAAAAGAAAAAGCTGTTGAGCAAGGATACAAGCTTGTTTCTATTGATGAGGTGTGGCATTTCCCCAAAAAGACTGACACATTGTTTAAAGACTATGTGAAAGCCTTTCTAAAACTTAAACAGGAGGCCTCGGGGTATCCAGAACATGTGAAAAC